AAGACTGTGGCAGTGGGTCAGGTGGTGGGGGCGGTGGGAGGGTGTTGTGACCCTGTGCTATCGAGAGGGCATACATCCAGCGGTGTGCTGGAACCAGCTTGCACTGGCTTGTGAAAGCCGATTAATAAATTTTCTGGAATTTTGGCAGCTAATTGGGAGCAGTGCTGAGCCACTAGCCTAGCATTTTGCTAGTCTGGGACAGTAATGAAGCTTTGATTGATTGCCTAGCTTAGCATGCCAATCAGCTGCTCTGCGCTGATTGAAATGGAGCCGGCAGAGACAATTCTTAAATGTTTACAAGGACACCCCTGCTTACGCCTTTTGTATGACTGTCCTGCTCCTGCTACAAATTAATTCTGTGGGTTTCATTGTTAGTGGCTGTGAAAGGAAAGATGAAGGGTGAAGTATATTCCTGCTCTCTTTCCTTCAAAAGCAAGTGCTATATAGAGAGTCCTCACTCACCAACCACTTGTTCAGCAACTGTTGGAAGCTGTGACAGTGCTGAACGGGTGACAACTTACAATTAGGCCTTGAAGTCACTCCATTCCCATTCGTGATTGTGATCTGGATGCTTGGCAACCTGTTCAGGCAACAGTTGCAACATCCTAGGACAGTGATGGCGAACCTTTTAGAGACTGAGTGCCCAAACTGCAACGCAAAACCCACTTATGCATCGTCGGGTGCTGGGTGGGTGTGGCCCATTGGGTGGGTGTGGCTGCGGTGGTAACGGTAGACTGGGTGGGACTAAAAAGTTCAATCAATCAATTCCAACTTTGTGAGATCTTTTTTTTCCCCGTGAGAAATTGAAATTGACTGATTGAACCTTTTTTTTTTTTTTTTGCACACAGCGGCGGAGGCCTAAAGCGAAAAGGTTTTATAAAACCCAGCTGAAGGCCTAGGACTGGGGCGACGGCGCGCGTGCCCACAGAGAGGGCTCTGAGTGCCGCCTCTGGCATCCGGGCCATAGGTTCACCACCACTGTCCTAGGATCACAGTTTGCCACCTTCCCTGCTGGCTTCCCACAAGCAAAGTCAGCAGAGATGCCGGCAGTGACGGTTGTGAGTCGCCCACATAAATCTCCCCCACACCTGGCAGCAGCCTCCCCCAGGCCCGAAATCTCCTGTGTGTGGAATCATGTACAAAAAAATAATGTATCTTTGTGAGACGTATTGCCAAAAATACGTGCATGTTGGGGAAAATGGCATAAATAAAACAGTTAAGAATGAAAATGCGCATGCAAAAGGAAATGTACAAAGATTACCAAATTTGCAAAGTGATTTGGGAATGGGATGGAACAAACCTGGGTTTGAAATAGTCTAAATGTTGTAGACAGTGAAGACTGATGCATTTGCCCAAGGCCAGCTCAGAAGAATTACATGGAAGGTTTGGAGAGAAATGCAGGAATCTCATTCATAAGAATCAACTCTACTTTTCTTTTCCTTCAAGGATCAGCTTTGGGACTATGAATGTGCCTTGGTTCTGGAGGGGAAGACTTTGTCCGTGGAGGCTTACATTGAACAAGATGAAAATGACCCCTCCATTTGCTACATCACGTGCCAATTACATCAGGTAAGGGCTTCATGGGAGCAGAGCCAGGGTTCCCCTAGCTCGGGAGTCCCCAACCTCCCGGTCCGTGGCCCAGTATCGGGCCGCGGCGTGCCAGCAACCGGTCCACACAAACAAGCAAAGCCCCATCTGCGGGATGTAAGCAGCACACAAAACCACACACACTCTGGTTCATGGAAAAACCTCTCTCCATGGAACTGGTCCCTGGTGCCCAAAAAGTTGGGGACCTCTGCCCTAGTTTTGGTCTCAACATTTATTTATTGATTTATACACCGCCTTTCTTATTTTTATAAATAACTCAAGGCAGTGAACGTATCTAATACAGATAGTCCTCGACATAATAACCATTTGTTCAAACTTAACAACAGCAGTGGAAACATATGACTTATGACCTTTTTTCACACTTACCACCTTTCCAGCATCCCCAGGCTCACGTGATCAGAATTCGGATGCTTGGCAACTGGCATGTATTTATGACAGTTGCCGTGTCCCAGGGTCACTTGATCACTTTTTGTGACCTTCTGAGAAGCAAAGTCAATGGGGAAACTAGATTCATTTAACAACCATGTTACTGACTTAACAACTGCAGCGTTTCATTTAACAAACGGAGGCAAGAAAAGTTGTAAAATGGGGCAAAATTCACTTAACAACTGTCTTACCTAACAACAGAAATTGTGGTCTCAATTGAGGTCGTAAGTCAAAGAGTATTTGTACTCCTTCCTTAATAATAATAATAATAATAATAATAATAATAATAATAATAATAATAATAATAATAATAATAATAATAATAATAATAATAATAATAATAATAATAATAATAAAAAGTTGGAAGGGACCTTGGAGGTCACCAAGTCCAACCCCCTGCTCAGGCAGGAATCCCTATACCATTTCAGATAAATGGCCGTCCAGTCTCTTCTTAAAAACTTCCAGTGTTGGAGCATTCACCGCTTCTGGAGGCAGGTTGTTCCACTGGTTAATTGTTCTAACTGGCAGGAAGTTTCTCCTTAGTTCTAGGTTGTTTCTCTCCTTGATTAGTTTCCCTCCGTTGCTTCTTGTCCTGACTTCAGGCGCTTTGGAGAATAGCTTGACTCCCTCTTCTTTGTGGCAGCCCCTGAGATATTGGAACATTGCTATCATGTCCCCCCTCGTCCTTCTCTTCATTATTCTTCTTATTCTCCCCCCCCCCCCCCAACAACAACCTCGTGAGCTGAGTTGGGTTCAGAGAGACTGGCCCAGCTGGCTTTGTGCCTAAGGCAGGATTAGAACTCGCAGTCTCTTGCTTTCTAGCCTGGTGCCTCAACTATTATCCCAAACTGGCTCTCATATATAGCCATGCATCTTATTTGATATTTTTAAAAGACCACCCACATGTTGAGTGATTTTCGGTGGCTGCCAAAGTGTAAGTCAAAGTAGGCTGGGTATAAAGTTTGTAAATCTGTCATCAGAAATATGTTACTCCCCCTCTTCAGTATCTTAACAGCCAAGATACAAAGGGAAATAGAATGGGGGAGAAACAGGAAAGCCAGTAAATGCTTGGTGACCAGCTGGAATATTCAGTGATGAAAAAATTTGGGAGAAGGAAGAAAACAGAATAGAATAGAATAGAATAGAATAGAATAGAATAGAATAGAATAGAATAGAATAGAATAGAATAGAAGCTGGAAGGGACCTTGGAGGTCTTCTAGTCCAGCCCCCTGCTCAAGCAGGAGAACCTATACCATTTCAGACAAGTGTCTGTCTAGCCTCTTCTTAAAAACCTCCAGTGATGGAGCGCCCATGATTTCTGGAGGCAAGCTGTTCCACTGGTTAATTGTCCTCGCTGTCAGGAAGTTTCTCCTTAATTCCAGGTTGCTTCTCTCTTTGGTCAGTTTCCAACCATTGTTTCTCGTCCTTCCCTCTGGTGCTTTGGAGAACAACCTGGCCCCCCTCTGCCTTGTGGCAGCCCCTCAGATACGGGAACACTGCTATCACGTCTCCCCTATTTCTTCTTTTCTTTAGACTAGCCAGACCCAAGTCCCGTAGCTGGTCTCAGCTGTACTGATGCCTTGATTGAGCCAAAATCAAGTCCTGGTCACATTTGTATCTCTGGCAAAAATAGGGAAGTTGTGTGCCATTTTCTGCCAAGATACAATTTTAACTTTCGAATTTAGCCTACCGCTCTGGGATTTCTTGCTGCTATTAGAGACACTAAAAGTAGGTTTGTTAACTTTCTGAGATTACTCAGAGTCATTTAATTGTAGCTAAAAAGAGTAATCCTTCACACTACTCCAGATGTTCCTGTCATCAGCTGAAATAATTGGGAAAAAGTAAAAAAGAGGAGTGTTAAAACGATCTAAATCAGTTTGTAAAAAGAACATTCAAACCATCTGGAAAGCCGTTAACAAAAGAAAAGAATCTCGTACCGTTTGATTTTTATTTCTAAAATCTGAATTGCAAAAAGCAAGCATCTAGAAAGCCAACCTATTTCCCCAAGGCAGAATTCCATTATTCTTTCCTATTATTATTGATGACCTCATTGATAACGCTAAGAGGAAAATCCAAGGAATACAAACACCTTTCAGAGAAAAAAAAATCCTAACCTCATAGTATCAGTTCAGTGAGTATATTCAAGAGGCACACAACAGTTTGATGGTTAGGAGGAAGAAATGACGAAACAAAACAGGGCACTGCTGCAGCAAAGTGAGTGGAATAGTCCCTAAGAGCCCAGGTAGCTGTACTGCCTGCTGCAAATTGCAGTGATACCATTTGTAGAAGTTTATACAAATCCCAAAACACTTGTAATTGCATAATATATGTGCTCTACACGGGGGCTGTTCTGAAGAGCACTCTGACGCTTCAGCTGTTCCAGAATGCAGCAGTGTGAATAGACAGTCATGTTTTGATGTGCCCACGTAACACCTCTGCTTCATGAGCTGCTGCACTAGTTGCCTGTTTCCTTCCAGGTGTGATTGGAGGTGCTGGTTGCTACCCACAAAGCTCTACATAATATAGGGCCCAGTTACTGTCTCCCATAGTATTTTCCCAGTCCATTGCATCTTGCAGGATTGTCATTCTCCAAATTCCTTCAATTAAGCCACGTTGGCTACTGAGACCCCGGACTGGTGCCTCCTCCGTAGTTGTGCTTGCTGTCTGCTGTTGTTTAGAAGAGCCATTGAGACCTTACTCTTCACCCAGGCCTTGTAGCAGGGGTCCTCAAACTTGGCCACTTTTAAGACTTGTGGACTTCAACTCCCAGAATTCTCCAGCCAGCATGGCTGGCTGGAGAATTCTGGGAGTTGAAGTCCACAAGTCTTAAAAATGGCCACGTTTGAGGACCCCTGCCTTGTAGGGAGTGAGAGGGAGAGACCCCTAACTTCATTCCACCCAGCCCCTCGCGCTTGCCATCTTTTATCGGGTTTGTTATGGTTTCTTTTTCCCTGTGTACAAAAATCATGTAATGTATGAGGGGAAAAGGGAAAAAAATATGATATAACTTCGAAGGAAATCTTTAGATCCAATATTGTTTTTCCTTTCTCCCCCCCTCCCTTAAAAAATACCAATAGCATAGAGGTAGTCCTCAACTTATAGCCATTTGTTTAGCATCTATTTAAATTACAACAACACTGGGGGAAAAAATTACTTACAACCAGTCCTTGCCCTTAACAACTGTTGCAGCACCCTGATGGTCAGGTGATCAAAATTCAGGTGCCTGGCAACCGGCTTGTATTCACAAGAGTTGTAGTATCCCGAGGTCATGTGGTAGCCTAGGGGTAGGCAACCTTGGCTCTTTTATGACTCGTGGACTTCAACTCCCAGAATTCCTGAGCCATCCATGCTGAGGGAAAAGGGGGAGGTTTCCAAGCTGAGCCATGCTGGCTCAGGAATTCTGGGAGTTGAAGTCCAAGAGTCATAAAAGAGTCAAGGTTGCCTACCCCTGTGGTAGCCTTTTGCGGCCTTCCCAGCTGGCTTCCAAGCAAAGCCAATAGGGGAAGCCGGATTCGCTTAACAACCACATGAGTCACTTAACGGTGGCAAAAAAGAAGGTTGTGAGACCAGGCCCAACGCACCTAACAACCGCTTTGCTTAGCAACAGAAAAATTTGGTCCCAATTGTGATCATAAATCGAGGACTACCTGTAATCTTATGTGTTTTGCAAGACTAATACTTGGGTGTCTCTTTTTCAGTACAGCTACTCGGCTCCCCAATTAGAATTCAGTGTGGTCATTTTCGTCCAGCGGAAACGGCATCTCCGTGTGGACAGCGTTGAAGATCTCCATGGTAACAGGGAAAGGGCACAGGGCTATCCTCATGGCTTAATAACAACAACATTGGAGCGGCTATAGACAAAACAGCCTTTGTTTTGTGAAATCAGAGAGTTGTGGTGGTTTCTAGTCATATCTTGATTTGCCTTGATGGAGCTTGCTTGCAAGGGACTGAGTTGTGTTCTGCAATGAACTAGGAGCCAGTGGGGCTGTTGAAGCAGAGATTTTGGTAGGCAAAACATAGTGCCTATCAAGACTGGGTGGGAAGGAAGGAAGGAAGGAAGGAAGGAAGGAAGGAAGGAAGGAAGGAAGGAAGGAAGGAAGGAAGGAAGGAAGGAAGGAAGGAAGGAAGGAAGGAAGG